AAAAAAACAACCTGGAAGATGCTCTTTAAGACAGTTTAATGACCTAGAGATATCCTATTATTCCACTGCGTATGTACACATGTTGTAAATAATGGTTAAATCCAAACTAAAGACTTTTCTTTTTGCCGCTGCTTTTAATTGAACTATTCACATCTTAAACTGCACTGTAACTTTTATCCATGTATTTTTTCTTTTAATGTTTATTTTATTATCTTTGCTTTTTAATGAATGTTTTTAATTGCCATTTTCTTAATGTCTTTCATTGTTGTAACGCACTTTGAATTTCCTTGTGTTGAAAGGTGCTATATAAATCAACTTGCCTTGCCTTTGCTTCTCTTCCTTCTCTCCTCCCCTCCTCTCTTCAGTATCGGGGAGTTCCTGTCCCTGGCTGCTATGGATACGTTCCTGCGCGGGGTCCAGCCGGAGGTCAACGATCTATTTGTCCTCAGTCTGGTCCTGATTAACCTGCTGGCCTGGATGGACCCCTTCATTACACAGGTCACTTAATCAAGCAACGTACTTAAGTACAATTTAGACAAATGGCTCATTGGTCTGTGGGAACCTTACCTCTTCATTTTTCCATCTCTTTCCAAAAGACACAGATTACTAGCGTATTTATGAATACCAAAAGAACATAACAGCAAGTGAAAAAAGCATGCATGCAACTTACAGGCGGAACAAAAGCTGTCAAATTTGGCCTTTTCTGCGTCATTCTTCTGCATTTGCCTTCCCATGCTGTAGACTAGTCCCCCACTCTGGCTGGAGAGATCAGGTGCAGAGCTACATGAGCCACTTGACCTACTTTCTATTTGACATGATCAAGTTTGAAAATATGGTGCACTTTTGCAAATGAAACTACCTAACACTAGTCAACATGTATATAGTTTATGCAGTTTTACTACACTGTGTTACTGCTTTGTATTTCAATCTTCTGGATAGTTATTTCACAATGTATGAGACACCTTATACAGAGTGTTAGACAGAGAGAGGAAATGTCCAGTTAGTTCTGTATTTTTTGTCCAGTTCACTTTTAACATGTTTTCATTTTTCATGGACAGGGAGCAACCGTGAAAAGATTTGTAGTTCTGATCCGAACACTTGGAACATACAACTCTATACTGCTGGGGTCCTGGCTTCCTGTTCTGGTAGGAAATCCTTCATACCCAACAACAACTAACTTCAGTTGATACATTATGTTGCTCTGGAGATAGAGGGGCTTTAATGTGTCCATGGGCAAGATCCTTTTGTGAATGAGCATGTACAGTGGCAAGAGAAAGTATGAGAGCCCTTTGGAATGTCCTGGTTTTATGCATTAATTGGTCAATAAATGTGATCTGATCTTCATCTTAGTCACAATTACAGACAGACACAATCCATTTGAACTAATAGCACACAATTGATTGGTTTGTTCTTGTCCTTATTGAATAGTTTATTCAAACATTCAGTGTAGTTTGGGAAAAGTATGTGAACCCCTCGCTTCCAACAAAAGCCAATTTGAGTCAGGGGTATCAGTAAAAAAAGATTGGAGGTCTTGTTCGAGCTACTTTTGACTTTTAAAAATCACTAAAAAACATTTGACTTTGCTATTCACAAGGTGTGTCTGCTGATATGAACCATGGCTTAGTGGATTGTCCTGATTTCAGTGGGTTCTATCTTTTCCTTTGGTCAGGGGATTATACCAGCCTCACTATTGACTGAACTTGAGTTGAATTGATAGTATTGATCACTAATCAGTGATTGGTCCCTCCTTCAGGCTCTCCTCCAGCTGCCCTACCTGGACTCTCTGTACGGTTACAGTCTGAAGCTGCTCCGGTATGCTGACACCACCACCCTGGCCAGCCTGGTGAGAGCTGACTGGACCTTCTACTCCTCCCACCCAGCCCTCTTCCTTTCCACCTACCTGGCTCACGGCCTGCTCGTCGACTACTTTGAAAAGAAACGCCGCTGTGGCGTGAGGAGCCAAGAGGACAGCACCACAAACCTGGAGTGGCTGTCCAATCTGTGGGACTGGTACACTTCCTATCTGCTCCACCCAATCGCAGCGCTGCAGCAGGTCCCATCTGACTACTCAGACTGGGAGGTCGACCCCAACTTTTTATTAGAGCGTTTGGCTTTCCCTGATCTCTGGCTGCGCCCATTAGTAAACATGGAGTATATTGACACCCTGCCAACCTGGAGGTTCAGAGCTGCTGGTCCGGACAGAGGAGAGGGGGGGGGTGTAAAGCGGGATGAAGAGACAGATAGTTCACATTCAGACACAGAGAGCATGAAGCAGTTGGATGCAGTTCCCATCAGATCTCCAAACAGCTGCAAGAAACACGAGAGCTCATTGAGCAGTCAGGACAGCGGTAAACATTTGTGTGTGCACACAAACACAGACCCCAGCAGTAGCTGTGAGTGTGTGTGTGCTGATGCATCACCACTCTGCTGTCGTCATGGGAACAGAAGCTCACCATTAGCTGACAGGACGGTGGAGGACGGCAGCCTGACATCCGAAGACATCTCCAACTATCAGCACTGTGATTGGTCGGTGTGGCCCTGTGACGTCCTGCAGTGTCTGGAGTGTGTGGTGTGTCTGGAGAACTTTGTGAGTGAGGAGCTGCTGATGGCCCTGCCCTGTGGCCACGTGTTCCACCAGCAGTGCATCGTGGTGTGGCTGGCCTCTGGCAGACACTGCTGCCCGGTGTGTCGCTGGCCCAGCTACAAGAAGAAGCTGCAGGGGGCTGCAATCAGAAGCTCCACGGGAAACACCCTGCAGGACTGATGCATACGTCTTACTTCGTTAGGGCTGCGTATCGATGTTAAATTGATCAGCCTAGATATTGTCTTACATTTTGGCTATGGTAATATCTTATATCGTAATATATAAGTGTGTTTTCCTAGTTTTTGAAGGCTCTATTGCAGTGAATGGATGTCATTCTATGAACTAAAAAGAGATTTCAGCTGTTTACTTTACCCACTTAATCATTATAACCTCATTATTTATCAAAAATGTCATTGTGTAAATCATTTGTGAAGCCCCCAATAGTCAACAGTAAAAACAAATTGAAATATTTGGTGAAAAATAAGGTGATATTTGTTTTTCTTCATATGGCCCAGCTCTGCTTCATGTGTCCTCTCTACTCTCATTGTTCATTGGCTCAGAGCTCACTGAGACTGTGTCTGATATTATAACAGGTTGCTTTTGATAAAGTTGGGAATGGGAAGGCTTACTTAGATATTTTTAAACTGGACCTTTTTTTCACATGTCATAATGACTAACGGGCCTAATATTTTTGAAATTGGTTCAGTATCGAGAGAGAGTGCTGCAGCCAGCAGTCGCTAAACGAACTCCAATGAATCGCTTTGGGCTTTTCCGCGACCTACAATTTACGTCCAAGAATGCTTGCTCCTGCCACGGAAAGGCCTGATTGTAATATAAAAGTCTGACTACATCATGAACAGGACCGTCTAGAAGCTAAGGGAGAAGTATTTTTCTGAAATCTTGTGTTGCAATTGCATTAAGGAAATTGTCTAAATATTCTGCCATTACATTTCAAATCAACACTTTGCTAAGCTCTTTGTACTTCAACACATCTGATAACCTTGGCTTGACACCAGCTTTCAGCCAGTGTCTTCTAGCAACAAGTCACATGACTCAATAACAAACAGACCAGAGAAGCAAAATGTAGAACTAAACATTGTATTTCTCTTACTATAATGTTGTCTGACACTTATCGAGCGATTACATTGCAGACTGTTATTGTTATTGTACATGTTGTCCCCATTAATACATATAAACATGGGGACACTGAGTCCAGGTTGGAAAGTAGAGAAGTTAAAAAGACAGGTGGTGGGATCCTGTTGTCATAAAGCCATAAATCAGCTCCTAATGTTGGAGGCAATATACTGGCCGCTATTAGCAGACAGTGAAACTATGACAGCCCACTCACCATGGGTTCTTTATCCAGAGTAAACAAGCACACTTTGTAGTAACTGAATCACAAGACAATTGTACGAACTACATCCTGTGTTATGACTGACTGAATGAATGTGTTTAACATTTCTGAAGGTATTGACGTCACCATACTGGCAACTCCCCAGAATCTTCATTTCTGTATAAGTATTTATTTTGAATGTGCTTAAACAAGTTTCCTGGTCTACACCTATTAATAGTTTCTGCCTTAATTCTGCCCTATCACATCCAATCAAATTCAATGCTAAATCTGTGTTTGATCACTCGGAACCAATATACAACAGTCATCATTCATTGTATTCTGACTGTGCCCAAGATTTACGTACTCATCTCCAAATTACATTCAAGCCCAATAGCCACCTGATTTGCATTAAACCTCAAGGTTTCACTTCACATTCTAGAAGTTAAGTCTATGCAGTGGAGCATCTGCCGACTCAAAGCAAGACAAGGGCAAGTCTGATGCACCTTTTACTATTTTGTCTCCATTGGGTCTGCACCAGAGTACTCGGACATGTGGCCACATTTTTGGAATACAACAATTATAATTCAGGGACATATCAGCCAGAAATGTTTTTGAAACAAATAATGTATTTAAAAAAAGACACTTTTTAATATAATACATTTTAGACGTGAGTGGGCTCCACCAACCACCTGAGGCCTCTGCATGTGACTTTGAGAAGCTCAGGAGAGCAGTCTGAGGGCTGCTACAGCACTAACCAACTACAAACACTGCTCAGTGCTGCTGGGGACTTATTTCATGCAGTCAGCATTATAGCCTCTTTAGATTGTTGCTTTTAATTTAAACTGCTTTTATCGACCTTGTTTCCAGCAGCAGTTTCAGTGAAGAATTCTAATAAACCTACAAACAGCAGAGTCATTGAGAGCTGGTGACTAAAGAGGAGAATAAAGCAGATCCAGAGACATATATGTTCTACAGGAGCTGGTGGAGACCAAAGCAGAGCTAAAAGGATAGTGAGTATTGGAGTGTATCAAGTGAACACACAGGACTCCCATGGAATGAGCATGTTGCTCTGAATCTTATGGGAATGGGCCTCTTTTTGCTGATGTGTTTACCATGTCCATTTTAGAGTATGATATGTCAGACATGTTTAGAGCTTACCAAAGAAAACAATTAATGCAGCTCCAACAACAGAGGTATTATTCAATCAATGCTGTATGATGACTGACCTTAAACAATACAGAAGGTTGATTGGAGATTTTAAAAATGAATTTGTTGAGATCACAGCTTTCAGATGCTACATTACTACAAGTATTCAGCGTGGATGGATTTATACATGTTTTTTCCCTTCATGAATCTATTGATGCCTGCCAGGATGTGAGGTGCAGTCAGGCTCTGACACCTTGACACCATGGGGGGCCTGTTGTGCAGGAGAAAAGCTGTCAGTGTGTCAGCCCAAGTTCTTAAAAACTACGACAGCACAGCTGCCCGGCAATCCGAGCACAACACAGGTTCCTGGACTGGACGGTCCTTTTGTCGGTGTAGCGAACAAATCAAAAAACACCAGAGCGAAAGAAAATAAAAAAAAAAAAACGCACACAAAGATTAAGAGCTCCGCGGCATGGTTTTACAGAGCGACCCGGCATATCCGGGCCCCCGGCTCAAGGGGTGGGACTAGATCCCCCATGTCGAGATTTGTGGGTATACTTTTTTCTAACCAATGTAAAATTATTGGTTTTAGTACACCTGTCATTGGTTATTTTGGATGGGAGCGGTTATTGATTATTTACATTGGAATAAATAAAAACAACAAGTAAGGATCAATTGTAAATCAAATACGTATGAAAAAATAGAGTTCAAAATTTACTATAAAAAACAATCAGGAAGTGATATGTAACTTACTAAATTACAACAAGAGCAAATAGTCCTCACCGACCTTTATAAACAAAATGGTGTTTAACGAAAATAGAGAGAGGCGAGCGAGGGTGCGGGGAAAACCGACACTCGACGCCCGCGGACTAAGTTGAGGAAAGTAGTGATAATGTCGCGGTTTAGCATGTCCCGTTTACTTTGCACATTTTGTCCCCCTTTTCCAATGAATTAATACTTATAACAATCTAGTTCCGGGCTTTTAATCCTACTCGCGTTTGCCAGTTTTTACAAAAAAAGGGGAGGGTCTTCGATGGTCGAGTCGCGGGGGACCTAGACCGCGGGATCCGCTGGTGGATACAGCGGATACGGTTTTTGGCTCGGGACTCCCTCTCAGAGCCAGTCAATGTCTTTCCACAGCCGTTGCGGGGAACAACCTCTCTGTTTTCGGAAGTTTCAGGGAGTAGGTAACGACTAGACTGACTACTGTAACAAAGGTAAATCGGATGACGGCGTCTTGTTACATAGTCCGGGTATTTCGCAGTAAATATGACCCCCTGCGACCCTGTACAGGGGAGGTGAAAACCTTCACCGGTCAAAGCAGGGGTGGTGAAACGTAATCCTAGTAAACAATTTTACTAGACTTCTATCAAACGTGTGTCTTAACATGTGAAACTCCAAATAACACTGTTCTCTTGTACATCTCAGACCTCCTGACAAGAGTGGTAAGACCGACATGAAGACCTATTGGGTTCTCCACGTCAAACCTGGACTCTGTGTAAATTATAATCACTAGTAACTTATCTCTTATCGAAACGACGTCGCATCGAATGACGTGATAAAGAGTTTTTCTCGTAACATTCGTATACATACATATTTACAGAACAAACGCCCGGGGAATTACGTCATCACCAAAAAGTTTAGACTTTCACAGGGGTGGTGAAAAAAGATTGGTTCACTGCGGGTCCCGTTCGACATCCAGATTACAATTCAAAGAAGGCTTTTATAAATTTCGCTATGTTTTGAAGGGTTTTGTTTAGGTCAATATGACTTGGTTTTTATATTTACGTTGTGAAAACAAAAACGAGGGTAAAAAGTACTCTACTTGAGTTTCTAGATTTTGTAAAAGATTTTTATTGGTAAAGAGACAACTATCACTCGTGAAGAGGAAACAGCTCTATTAGGTAGGGTGGAGTGTCCACACCGTATAGTTCTACGACTAATCTGTCGTACTAATAACGTGTCCACACGGTCCGGACCGGTGTTATTTTTCCGGTGAGACTTTGCACGTCAAACGAAATAACCCCCCCAGGCTTTTGGGATCCCAATTTGGGATTGGTATTGGGATTTGTACAGTGGGGTAACTCGTACAAACCCTTCGAAACCTAGCCGCATATGCTGTCGCACAAGGTCAAGGACGGTTATAGGTCGTTGAAGCGTGTCGGTAACTTCTCCTCACCTGGTTGTAAGCTGTCCGGTGTTAGTTGTTGGACTAGTTGAGATACGCTTCATCTACACAACGTGACGCACTCCGTTTACCACCAGTGTGGTCTATGACTGACCAAAAGCCTGGGGGGGTTATTTCGTTTTGACGTGCAAAGTCTCACCGGAAAATAACACCGGTCGGATTACGTGTGGACACGTTATTAGTACGACAGTTAGTCGTAGAACTATACGGTGTGGACACTCCACCCTACCTAATAGAGCCGTTTCCTCTTCACGATTGATAGGTGTGTCTAAAAAAGTCTAAAGACTTGTTATAAACTCTCTTTACCAATAAAACACAATATATCTTTTACAAAATCTAGAAACCCTCGTTTTGTTTTTCACAACGTAAATATAAAAACAAGTCACATAATAAAAAGTACTTACCGTGGTTTTGAAATATCCAAAATGTAAAAACGTTTTCTCTCTTTACTCTCGATGAATGGTAGTAAGTTAGTCTCGAACAAAGAAGAGGACTCCGCCAACTCACCACTTTGACAAATTACCATATTCTTCACTTGAAAACCCAAAGAGTTACTAACACAAGACACGACGACTTGCTGTCAACCCACC